GAAATAAGCACTGGGAAGTTGGCTCAGAGAAAACCCTAAAAAGAGAGCTATTGGGCTTGGAATTGAGAGCAAATCAACTCTCCTGCTGTTTGATTTCCCTTAATACAGGAGGACTGGAACTGTGTACATTCTTTCTAAATACATAGGCTCTCTCCTCAGAATGATAAATGACTCCAACACCAGTTTCTGCCCCTAACCAAGCAATCTGTTGGACCTCATAATTGTGCCAACTACTAAAGTCAGAAAGGGGTAACAATATTAGTTTGTTTTTAAAGACAGCCTCCTGGTTATTGAGGCCAGACTCATGACATGTAAATGCTGGCAATAGCAGTAGAGCTATGTCAGCAGGGAAAACAGCAGAGTGAGAAGTAAATTAGTCCTGGCTGCATGGGGAAGAAGAGAGGAAAAGTCAGTGTACAGAACAGAGGAATAAAAACATGAGCTCTGGGAGGAGACAGAAGGCATGGAGAGGAGAAGCAGCACTTTCAGAGCATGGATAATGGAAAAAAGATGACAACTGATTTTATATGGTGGGATTATAATTCCAAAGGATTCTGGTTATATTATCAGTTAAAAGAATAAAGATCATTTGGTTGATGCAGTCACCAGAACATTTTGCTGGATTTAGTGTCAGAGAATACTGTTGCCCAGACTCATAGTTATAATTTAACATCCATAGCCTCTATTTAGTTAGATAGAAAAGTTACTCTTTGGTATGGTGTGATAGAAAATAGCCTTACACTGCAGAAAGTGTGAAGAATACTTGAATGGGTTGCTGGTAACCAGTTAATATGGCTGTACTGTGCTCATTACCCAAGTTAGCTTTGACAGAGTATGCAAAACCAACCAGTTTTGTATCGGAACTTGATGATTTCTACAGTCCCACTTTCTGCAATGTAGACATGATATATAATATAAGGTACTAAGTGGCAGCAACTGCCACCTCATAAGAGTGCTTAGCAACATGTGCAAATGAGACCACAGTAACTCATTGCTTAGCATCACCTCAGGAGGTTATTCATTTTTTGGATCTACCTTTAGGTATTTGTCCAAATATCGGCAACAAAACTACGTCAGTGGAAAACCTAAAAAAAGTAGCAAGGTTAATCTTTTCACTCCCACAAAACTAGAGTGCAAGTTTTGTAGTCATTTTCCTTATGATGACTAGTGAGATTCACTTGCATTGGTGTCAGCTGAATAAAAGTGTTCACAATAAGCTGTCCTATAATGAATTTAGCAGCACAAAATACTGGGTCATCTTTCTAACTCATTTGAAATGAGTGGAATTGAAGCAGGATTGAAGCTGGCTCATGAACTTCTGGATTTCTTTTTATGTCTTACATTGAGGCAGAGGTTAAAAGAATGGCCCATCTGAATGACAAAGTGTGACATCCTACAGCTCCTATAGGTGGAAAAGCAAGACAAGTTGTAGTATAGTTCCACCTCACTTGTCCCACCATATAGGCAAACTCTTTTGGTGCTTCCTTGCTGATTATTACTTACCACTTAACTGTTTACAGAGCACTCATTCCACGATCAAACTCCTGATAAAGTTGCAACATATTTTGAAAGAGGGCTATTTATCACTCTTACAGCAGCAATTGCATGCTCAATTGCTGACAAATTGGTGCCTTGGTCATAAACAAGAAGCATTTCTGTATTAGGAAAACTCAGAGATTTGGTTTTGGTAGCATAATCTTTCAGCCCTATTCAACACTCCCCTCTGCATCATCAGCGTTGCACCATTTATGCTTGACCACTTGGCAGGTAAGGAGGCAGAGCAACACAGAACATTGCTTGGAGTCACCTGCTAACAGTATGAACATAACAATGTTTCCAGCTCGCAAGTGAAAAATAAATATTAAACCTGCTTTTGTTTAGAAACTTTTTAGAAATGTAATGCTTTCAGTATTGCACATAAATCAGCCCCATGTATTTAGGTCCAGTTTTAGGAAAGCAGCTATTACTTTGAATGTTGTCAGTAACTACCTTGCCCTTACAAGATCAGAACAGAAAATCAAATAATCAAGGAAGCAATCCAAAGGGTTAAATGCATTAAAAATACTAAAATAAACACTTAATTAGAAAAAAAAATGACTCAGTATTTTTATTGCAAGCACAAAACTGCTGGGAGCACAAATGTCAAACCTGTAGGGGCCCTGACTGTAGGCTGATCATGCATTTAAGTAAAGTGCAAGTATTATGATTCCTTTATAGGAAAAAAATGTAGACTTATCATCAATAATACAGTATACCTGCTCCATATGCTTTTCTTTAACCATTCTATAGTAGTATGGAAGATATAACCCTGAGAGAAGACAAAAGTGGATTAAGATTATGTTTGTTTCACCTGGAGTTTGGGCCTGCTCACAGCTGAAGTACCCTTTGGCATAAATTAGGGAAACTCTAAGGGCTTCCCTAGTTTATAGTGGCCTTTATGATGACCTGCTAGGGCTGCTCTGCAGTCTAGAGCAGCCTGGCATCTCTGTAGCGCTGAAATGCTACAGAAATGTCCTTTTTAACCCAGACTCAGCCCATTCTACCCTACTTCTCTTCCAGGATGTACCTTATCTTGGAGGTTGCGTTAAGGGCAACATAAGCCTACATTCAGAAATTGTGTGTCATTTGTGCACCAGATTAATGGTTCTTATGCTAGAACAATATATGGGGTATCATTTTCCATGGATTTCCCTCTCCCCCCACCAAAAAAAGATCTCCCTTACAGGATTAACCAGAAGGGACTTTTCTATACTAGGATTGAAACAATGTTAGCAGCAGCAGCTCTGTGTTGGGCACCTCCTGTTAGCATAGCTTTCTTGAGTAGTACACATTGGGTTTATGATGTTCTTCTCATTTTTGTTATACAACTATCCTCCAGACATCTCTGGGGGGGGATCTATAATGATTTGGCTAGCATGGGTCTTGGAAGAGAATTTGGCCCTCCCTTTTCAGGGAAAATAGCTTCTGAGTAAAGCTGTTAGGGACAAGAGTATAAACATCATAGCCACAAGCAGAGCTTCAGATGTAGTGGGGGAAAAAACAGCCCATGTGTTTGCTAGAACAGGATGATTATTGATCCCTGAGGCCTATGTATACCATGGATTGCAGACTCATCTGTATAGAAATGCATTATGATATTTTTAAAAGGGACTCTTATATAGTGCAGCTCCATTATACTTTTTTCTCATGCATTGAATTTTTCCTCGATTTTGTTTCAAAATGTGGGCATAATGCTCTTTCATGTCATGAAGTCTGACAGCATCTTCTGATCACCCTGACACCAATTCTGCTTTTCTCTTAGCCGCTCTACTGGATGAAAGCTCATGAAAAGTTTGAAATGAGATTTCTACAGAGTTAATCTTCCTTTCCCCAATATGTTGGCTCCTGCTAAGAACCATTTTTCACCTGTTTAGTCACACATTCATTATTGTGCTAAAAAGCATTTCAAATCAATAGTGACAAAGACACCACAGTAGGCACACAACAAGGACTTTTATCTGTCTCACAAAGATCTCTTTGGAATAAAATCAATATCAGAGATGTTCAGGTTTCTTACCCAGTAAGAATCCACATCTGATAATTGGTGCTAAATCATAAGTGGTACATGGGTTTTTCACATCCATGGTGATACTTTTATTTTCATGAAGTACTGAGAAGAAGGATTTTTTTTAACAATCTGCACATAGTAACACTGATCCAGCTATGTAATTCAAGTACCACAGTGTAGAAACCATCTGGGACTCCATGGAGTATATCTGGAGAAAACTAAAGAAACAGCAGAAGTTTGTCTACTGACCTTCCTGAGCTGGAGAAGACTGAGAAGCAGGAGAGGAATTTGCCTTTCTTTCCTAGGCTGAGCGCCAGGGTAACATTGGAGAAAGACTTACCTAGGGAGCTCTGAGCCAGAGTTAGAGTAGGATGAGTCATCAGTCCAGAGGGTCACGAGCCATCATTTTGGTGGCCAGTCATTGACTGCTGTCCTGGCAGGAAGCTGACCACATCCCAAACACAACCTTAACACCAGCAGGGCATATATTAATGTACTTGTGGACTGTCCTGTTATTTATACCTTGCTTTGAGGCTGCTTCCCTGTTCCTATCTACATTTGGCTTCTGGCCCAAGCTACCATAGATGGCCACTCATGGCCTGGTTTCTTAGACTTTCTTAGAGGAGTGGGAGCCCTCAGCCAGGTGAATGAAAAGCTCCACAATAAAGAAGCTCACTCTAGGAAAAACAAGGACTGCTGTGGCTTTTGACAAAGAGGACTGAAGAGCATTAGAGGTGGAGGGACTGGAATTTGAGGACTCTTAAGGCTAAGTGGGCAATAACAACTCTTTCCATGGCTAAGTAGAAAAATGGCATTCCTGTAAAACTGGCATCAAGGGATACTGCTTGGGATACTGCTTGGGCAGCAAAATAAACTTGTTCCTGAGTAGATTACTTCTCCAGACCCTTTTACTTCCACCGAACCTGGAGCCTGTTAAGCTAAGTATAGACAGTCAAAAAAAACCTGAGGCTGAATCAATTCAATCCTGGCAGGTTACTTTAAGCTGTGTAGATTGAACCAATAAGCAAGTGAACAGACATTTACTTTTGATTCCAGAAATGCAGCCTCATGCCTGCAGTGGCCCAGGCCAGAGGCCAGGAGGTGTTAGAGAGCACCTTCCTGCTTGGGTGGAGAAGACAGCTTGAGCCAAGGCCAGCCCGCCCACCCTGCAAAGGAGAGGTTTGTGGGGGAAGCGACAAACATCCTGGGATACTGGGGGACTGAGTTAACTTGAATCTGGAGGGGATCTGGGACAGAAGTTCAGTAAACCAATTTAATCTAAATCAGTTAAGTCTGATACTACATCCATCCAGGTTTATCTTAAACTGGTTTTGGCTATTTTGAAAGTGTTTTTTGCGCCCACAACTTCTGTTGTGTTACATATTTAAACTGGTTTCTGATCACTTATACTGGTTTATGTGTATTTTCTGTCCCTAGCCTTACAGTCTAAAAAGGTTTCTTTCTTGTTAGTTTCTAAGTGCCACAAAACTGGCATTTATTTTCACAATTCAAATACATTACATTGGTTTGTTATAGAACTTACTTTGGAAGTCATTCAATAATCCTGGATATTATTGAATGACTTGTTAATTGGCTGACAATGGTAGAAAAGTTCTAGTTTGACATATTCCAATATGGGATCTTTCAGAGCATAAATTGGAATTAATAGGCCATGGCTTTGATCTTCAAGGTCTGTGAGCAATGCCTTAACTGAGGCAAAAAAAAATATGCTGGATGTACTTTGAGAATGTTTGTAGGTAGACAAGTCCTGCTCTGTAGCCAAGTGGCCCTTCAAATACTTCATGGGTAAAACTGGTCAAGTTTTTTGACAGAGCGGTTTTTAATTGAAAAATGCTGTCTTGTCAAGACTGAAATATTTAATAAGAACATCTTGAATTCAGCAGAAATATTTCAAGATTTCATTTGGACAAGGTCAAAACATTACATTTAGACTTGCTTTTGCAAAATTGTTTAGACTTTTAAAATCAGTGTTGCCTCCCTGTAACAAAGAATCGGGTTTTTGTCCTCTTGCTCTCTTGGCAAGATGCCCTGTGGGCAGTCTAGTCAAGGTGAGAATCCTGTAATTAGGATGAGTGTCATAAGCCTTGCCTTCTGAGATGTATGGAGCCTTTTGGCACCATGCTCACTGTGACATCCCTGTAACTAGGTTTATGGGCTCTACCATTCTGGCTGTATGCCTTGTGAGGAATCTAGTCAGTGTGACAACCCTACAGTTAGGGGACTGTCATAGATTTCTCCCTTGTAGGGTACAAGATGCCCTTTGGTATTTGAACAGCATGATGTCCCTGGAATTTGGGTTAAGCCCTGCACTTTCCCTTCCCCTCTCCCGCTTCACACCACACTTCTTTAGTTTAGTAATTGGATTGACCAGTTTGTATAACTGGGGCATTAGTTGCATCCCTCCCTGAAGTACAGGTAAGTAAGACCACTTTGAATACAGGGGACTCACAGGGCTTGAACCTCTTCCTGTTATCCTGTTGGCCAGGGGTGGGCAATTATTTTGGGCGGAGGGCCGCTTACTGAGTTAGGGCCGCATGACAGGAAGCCAGGGGCAGATAAATAGTTTCATAGTAGCTAGGGTCAGGAGGGACCTGAACAGATCATTTAGCCTGACCCCCTGCCACAGGCAGGGATGAATGCTGGGTTCACAAGACCCCAGACAGGGGATCATCCAACCTCCTCTTGAATTTGCCCAAGGTAGGGGCGAGGACCACTTCCCTCGGAAGTTGGTTCCAGATTTTGGCCACTGTAACTGTAAAATATTGCCTTCTGATCTCTAACCTAAACCTATTCTCCATCAGTTTTTTACCATTGTATGAATTTTCTAAATTTTTTAGGGGCCCCGCGGGCTGGATAGAATGGCCTGGTGAGCCACATCCAGCCCGCGGGCCACATTTTGCCCATCCTTGCTCTTGGCATATGCTACTTCAGCTAGCTAGTTGGACTGAGCATCCTATAGATAGGGTACAGGTGCCATCAGCAGCTAAGTATTGTGTCTCTAAGAACATGTAGATGTAGCCCTGACCCTGCATTCTCCATTATGAATGTTCAGGATTTCTGCAGGCAAGCTTCCTTGTTTCTATCTCACCGTTTTGTTTTGTTTTTTGAGGCAGAGATTTTGCAGCAGTTGTTGCTAAGTTCCGAGAGAGGTCCCTCTACCAGTTTTGGGACAAATGACAATCGTTTGTCGCTGACTTGAAAAATACATACCCATTCATGTCATGCTGCCCATAATCATCTCAAGTCTGATGGCTTTTGGGTTAGGAATTTTGAGCCGTGAAATGTAACAGTTTTTCTAGGGACAACGAGTTTTTTTTTTACTTTTGAGGAGAAAGTATTTGATTATGTTGCCTGCTATTTTATTTCCTTAGTATTGTGATATTTTAAATAGTATGTGAGAATTAGAGGGGTTTTGTTTTGTTTTGTTTTTTAACACTTGTAACACCTTCACTCAGTCTTCAAGGGTTCTGGCCAAGTTTACTTCTCTGCCTACAGTGAATATGTAATCCTTTAGATTTTTCTTCCAGTTTATTGTTGTTTTCCAGCATTTTGTTCATTAGTAACTTTTATAGGAAAACGCATTGTAAAGTAAATTTAATTAAACAGTCTTTTCATTCTGGCCATTTTTAAGAATCTATTTTGCTTCATCTAATCTTATAAACTGTCTGTTGGCATTTTTATTGCAATTTTAAAATTTAATTGGGATTCTTCCGAGTCTGTAGTGTACTTTTTTTCAGCCTCTACAGGATAATTGAACAAGAAGAAAGCATCCAGCTAAAAAGGAAATAAAGAGAAAGACAAGGAATTGTGGGCAAGGAGAGAAGATTTACATGCTGAAGTGTAAAACTGCAATTATGTATTTCATATGTAAGTCATATAACAGTTTCATGGTAAATAATAATTAAGCTTAAATAATACATTAATACATTTTCTTAAGCAATGTTAAATACTCCTTATTTATCTTATGAGCAATATTGTAACGAAAAACCACTTCCTTGTTTCTTCAGGTTTATATGACATTCATCGTGCCAAGTTAAGTGCTTTGGAAGGATAAATATGACTTACTAGCATCTGACTCATGATACCAATGAATATTAAAGCCAAGATGCAACAAACAGCCTAACTCAGTTATTTGTGGCACATTAAGAGAAAGTTGCAATTCATCACAACAGATGACTGAAAAACAGTTCCTGCTATAACTTTTTACAGTCACTATAACTACCTCTGCTAGTAGCTTGTGTGATTTCTCAAGAAAATATATCTTATATGCTGATTACTAAAGCATTCTCTGCATCATACACTCACATTCTGGTAAAAAAAAGGGACGTGTTTTTGGTTTAATTTATTAAACTTAATCTTTACCATTCCTTCCTAGTCAATTGCTTGGGAACCTGGGCTTTATATTCCTCAAGTAGTTTTTCTGACAGTGGTAAATCTTTGCCTACAGTAAACTGTTCAAAACTGAAGAACCATTAAACCATTAAGAACCCCATAAAATGAAGATGTATGATGGCCATCCTGAAGAGGCTGTTTCAAAATCAAGGGCCTAGGGGAACACAGCTGTTCTCCTCTGTCTTAGCCCTCTACTTTTGATACCAATGCAATGCTATGAATATAATGTCATGTGAAACTGAACTCAATTTCTAATTATCTTCAGATGCTGGTCAGTTGGAAAAGATCAACAGAACTGAAGAATTACATTCTAAATGTTGTTTCAAATATAAGTAATTTATTTTACCTAGGCCACTACTTGGCTTTATCTAACATTTTCCAGAAATATTTTAAAAATATTTAAACAATATTTCTGAAATATTTAAAAAATATTTAAAAAATATTTCTGAAGGTGGCTTAAGACCATTAATTTTTCAACTGCATACATAAGGTATACTTCTACTCTTAATAAGATTTTTTTTCCTTGCTGGCTACTTAGGAACTGTAAATGCATAATGCTATACCGTTACAATTTATGACTCTTGATAAATAATTATTTCCTATTGGAAGCTGCATTTTAAAGGGAAGGACTTGCTCATATTTTGGATAATGCATATTTTAATATTTTTTAAACTCTGTATTACAAACCTGTAATAAAAGAAAGCAAAACTAAATGTTTGTCTGCATACTAGCAGTTGGCATTGTTGGCATGCCCTCCTAACTTCGTAGCTTTCAATTATCTACTCTGCCTCACCTGTCACACCAAATTGAATTGAACATGGAATTTTAACTCCCAATGAATTGTGTATATGCATACCTTTTCATAATGTGTATTTTATTATAAGTAACGACAGTGGTATTCTACAGTCTTGTTTAAGTGCTATTTTTAAATGTAGGGGTTTAGGTTGTAGCTGTGTTGGTCTAAGGATATAGGCAGACAAGGTTCCTTGGGTGAATTTGATATCTTTTATTAGACCAACCCAAATGGTTGGAGAATAGTTATTAAGCAAGCTTTCGGGTTCAAAAGCCCTTCGTCAGGCTCAGGAAGCTGCAGCAGTTGGTGTGTGCTCTTTTTTTTTAAATGTATAACTTTTGGATGTTCAAGGGTGAGGATTGTATGGAAGTTTTGTCAGCATCTCTCTATCAAATGTTAATACTGTGACTATAGAACTGTAGTGTATTGTGACTACTTTTTTGAGAGATGGTATGAAAACTGGGTACATTGGTGTGACTGGTTGAAAACTACAGATAGTTTTTGTCTGTGTACATTATTTTACTTGTGTATATGGCAAAGTGGAGTTTGCCTGCATTGTACTATTTAATTGGTGTGAAAGTTAATATAGAATGGGTGTATACCTTTTGTGAAGTCTTAATTTCAAGATCAATAAGTAGTCAGAGTCTCCCTGCTTATGCCAGTTCTTCCTGTCCTCCATTATTCTAAGGCCTGAGATGAAGAGTGTCAAAGATTTCAAATATTCTGAGGGATATTCAAGAGTTTAGCATCTTGACAGGGCCCTGAGAGTTTCATGGAATTTTCATAGACACTAGGGCTGGAAGGGACCTTGGAAGATCATCAAGTCCAGCCCCCTAGCCCAGGGTCAGGAAGTCAGCTAGGGTCAAAGGATCCCAGCAAGATAAGCATCCAAACGTTTCTTAAAAGAGTCCAGATTAGGTGCTTGCACCACCTCTGGAGGGAGTCTATTCCACGCCCGGGGGGCTCGGACAGTAAAGAAGTTTTTCCTTATGTCCAGCCTAAAATGGTCTTGGAGGAGTTTGTGACCATTGGTCCTTGTCATCCATTGGGGTGCTCTGGTGAACAGGCGTTCTCCCAGATCCTGATATACTTATAGGCTGCCACCAGGTCCCCCCTGAGCCTGCGCTTTTCCAGGCTGAAGATTCATAGATTCATAGATGTTAGGGTTGGAAAGGACCTCAACAGATCATCGAGTCCGACCCCCTGCCTGGGCAGGAAAGTGGCTTTAAATGACCCCAGCTAGATGCCTATCTAACCTCCTCTTGAAGACCCCCAGGGTAGGGGAGAGCACCACCTCCCTTGGAAGCCCATTCCAGACCTTGGCCACTTGAACTGTGAAGAAGTTCTTCCTAATGTCCAGTCTAAATCTGCTCTCTGCTAGCTTATGGCCATTATTTCTTGTAATCCCCAGGGTGAGTAAAGTCTCACCAATTCCCTTCTGTGCCCCCATGATGAACTTATAGGCAGCCACAAAGTCGCCTCTCAGCCTTCTCTTGCGGAGGCTGAAGAGGTCCAGGTGCCCTAGTCTCTCCT